ATTGTGGAGTGGGGGGGAGGGAAGGGAAGGGAAGAAGGAGGCGCGGCCAGGGAGCTCTGCACCGGGTGCAAACTACGTCTCCCACAGCCCCCCTGCCCCCCGGGGGCCTTTCCTCCTCGCTGTGGGCCCTGGGCTTGCATCTGATGGTCCTGGGGCTCTTCTTCCCTGCCTGCCGCCTCCAAAAGCCCTGCGAAGGCCGCCCGGGGTTTCAGGCGAGGTGGGTAAGCCCAGCTGGCTCCAAGGAAGGGGCGAGGGGATGGGGTCGGGTCCTTTCCTGGCGAGGAGCCTGGCGAAGGAGGAGGACTGCTCCTGCTTGGCTGACACGTGCTGCGCCTTTCCGACGTTGCCGATGCCTTTGTTTGGGAGCCCTGCTTGGCTTGGGAAGGAAGGGGTTTCTCAGAGCCGGGGAAATGTCGGGGCCGGTGGGCGGCGGTTGTCTCCCCCCTTGCTTGCATGCGCCCCATTTCGTCCTCCTTTTCCCGGACCTGTCCTCCACTTGCCCCTTCTGCCCAGGAGGAACTCCAGAATGTCCTCCATTCGGGGCATGACCGAGAAGCGTGGCTCTACATTTCGAGGTGCGCTTTGAGCTTTCATTTGGTGGTGTCCTACAATTTCCTTGGACGTCCTTCGTTTTGCAGCCAGGGCGGCCAGAGGTCCTCCTTTGTCCTCCACGCCCACCTTCCAAAAGGTCCTCCATTCGGGGCACGCATTCCTAGGGTTTCCTCCTTCTTTTGCGATGCCCTCCATTTGTGGGTGCCTTCCCCTCTTTCCATGGAGGGAGGGAGGCTGGGGCTGCCTCTGCCTCCGCTCTCTTTGTTATTGCTTTTGTTTCGCACGGAGCACATGGCCTGGGATCCCTCTCGCGGCTCTTAAAGTTACAGATCCCCCCAGCCTTGGCCAAGGAGGGATCCATCCATCCATCCATCCTTGCTTCTGCAAAAGGGCCCTCCTCACCCCCTCCCTCCCCAAGCTCCCCTGGCTTGGTACCCGAGCATCTTAGGAAAACAAAGGTTTAGCCCGCATTAAAATGTAGGTATTTGGGTGCTGCAAAGGGGAAAGGGAAGGAAGGGAGGTAGAGGGAGGAGTGGGCAAGTGCCCTGGCTGAGAGTCCTCTGCAGCTCCATGGTCCCCAGTGACGTCCAGTGGTCAGTAATAGTCAGCTCTGCAAATCGGGGAAAGGGCTGAATTTATTCCAAATGGGATTTGGCAGCTGTAAGGAGCATGACGAAATCCTGAACTGCATGATTTCTGCTCTGCCTCTTGTGCTTCCTGAGGATGATTTCGGTGCCTGTGTGCTATCAGGGCCTGGAAACCATTTGCCAAGAACGACAGTGAACACTGGTAGGAAAGGTTAACATTTTAGGTTCACTTGAGTATATTGAGTGAGTTTTAGGTTCCCTTGAGTCTGTTAAAATCTTTTTGAAATGTTGGAAAGTTTTTATATTGATGGCTAGCCAAGAAATGAGACCCAAGGCGGTGTAGTGGTTTGAGCGTTGGACTATGAATCTGGAGGCCAGGGTATGAATCCTTGCTTGGCCTTGGAAACCCACTCAGTGACCTTGGCCAAATCACACTCTCTCAGCCTCAGAGGAAGGCCGAGACAACCCCTCTCCAAAACAAATCTTGCCAAGAAAGCCCTGTGATAGGTTTGTCTTAGGTTCGCCATAAGTCCGAAGCAACTTGAAGGCACACAACAACAGCAGCCAAGGA